ATCTTGGCAAGCAAAGAGGAAAAATACTTTCAAAAAGAAAAGAGAAAACTCATAAGAATCCCCTCCCCATCTGCGCTGCCTGCCAGCTTGAGCAGAACCTCCAACCTGCAAAGACCTTTAGTCTCCTGGGCCCGGGCTGCCGCCCAGCTGAATTAGCCCCTTGCTGGTTTCTCTTTGGAGAGAGACGACTGCAGTAGGAGCGAGGAGGCTGTGAGAACTAAACTAGTCCTGAAGGGAGGTTGCCTCCAAATAACTCAGCTGGAGGTGAGAAGGGGAAAGTTAACGGTCAAAAGATGGGGGTGCTGATGGGAGTGGAAGACCCAGACCTTACCAGGTGTCCACAGGGAAAAAGAAGTAGATTGAAGCAGTCCTCTCCTCAGCCATATTGATGCCGCTGGGCTGTGTTCATGGCACATCAAGTCATCCCATTTACAGCTGGGCAAGGGAAAAGGCTCTCACCTCCCCAGAAGGCTCCCAGAAGTCTAATGCAGGCTCTGAGCAGGGGGAAATAGAGAGTTTGCATTTGGATGTCTGGATGCTTTACATGAGCTCTCAAGATAACTGTTGTACAACAGGAAGGGGTGTTCGAACGAGAAATGCATGCACGCACACACAGTTTGCTATTTAGACAACCCTGCGCATGAGGTCAGGGTGAAAACATGTGGTGGAAACATGTTTGGAAGAGTCAGTGCCTGTGTCAGTCACCAGGAGTGGGAGGGAGCAGGAGCCAGCGGCTGACAGATTCGCCTTCTCTCTCTGTGGCCGAGGCGGCCTCAGCCCAAGCAGATCCTCTTGTGGCATCAGAGCACTTTAAGGCTCTCTCCTGGGCTTGGAGAGGAGGTGATTTTTGCCTCCCCTGTACCTGCCAGGCCCTGGAATGTCCCCTTCTGGGGTTGTCTCTCCATCCTCCTAAAATTGTCGCGGGGGGATGGTCGGCCAGAGTCAGACTTGGATCAGGCAGCCCAGCACATCCTCGCCATCGTGTTTCTGTCCCTTGGCTGCCCCCTCCCTGACCGCTCACTGGTAATACAGCTTTGGAAACACATCTCGTGCTATTTCTTGGCTTTGAAGCACAGCTAGGAGATGGAAGGAGGGTGTGAAAGGGAGGGGGAGATAGCAAGGGGGAATAATGCAAAATGAGACTGTACTGTGAGCTTTGTATCCCATCTGGAAGCCGTTTTCCCCCAGTACACTTCACACCCGCTCCCTCTGGGCCAGGATGGTGAGGATCACATTTCCCAGTTGTCTGGTCCCCTTTGCTCAAGCCAGGCCCATCTGGTTGAAAGCTACAGGAGAGAACTTAAAGAAGAACCTCAGCAGAGTTGCAGAATCCTTCACTGTCACCGTTAGAAATATTTGGCCAATTCCCAGATGAGCAGGAGCTGGAAGATCTCCCAGGGAGAGAGTCTACACCTTGAAGAGGCTGCAAGATGAGCCTCCTCTGCTCATGCATGCCCATATGCCCCACCTTCCTTTGGGGCCAATTCCTGTGGACCCTTGTGGACCTTCCACTTAGACATGCACCTCCTCCTGCTAAATGCTGAGATTTTCACTGCAACAGTTTTAGCAAAGGCATGTGCGGGTCCGCAGCTGTGCTAGTTTCAGTCTGAATGGGAAGGGTTATTGACTGCCCAGTATCTCCCATGGAAAGTGACCTTCTTGGAAGGACTACTACAGTCCACTACAGTCCAGGGTGACAGAAACCTGCTCCTGTATTACACAGAAGTGTTGTGTTTATTGTGCAGAAGTACCATGGAAAAGCTAAGCACCAACCCCTGTGTTCTGTCAATGATCCACATAGCCATGAGACACTCCCTTGGCTCCCTTGGAGCCTTCTCTCCCGATTTAAGGAAGAAGGCAGCTGTGGCCTTCTCTGTGTTTTGCCACATAAGTGCAGCTCCCTCACCATATTCATGGAGACTGGGTGAGGAGGAGTTGACACAGCTTGGGCTAGGTGGATGAATCTAAGCTTAATAGCAAGCGTTTGGATGGCATCTATCTGAAACAAGGTGTGGATGGCCTGTCACACTGCCCAACTCAGTTACATCTGGGCAAGAGGACACTTTTTCCTGTTACCAGGTGATTAGATCTTTGGATACCTTTACTACTTATAAGTCTCTTCTAAGGTTAATATCTGTTGGCGTCCCTCTTCTTGCAGAAAACAAAGCCAAGGCAATATGCACAGCAGTCTGCCAGGGACCTGAGTTAGCTTCCTGCTTGTCCTTGAGTCTCCATTGTGGATATAGTGGGTTATAAAGCTGGGTTGTCATCTTTTACTTTGTCCTTCCTTTCTCCTGACCTCTTTTCCATTAAAGAGGATAGCTAACCTCTGTGCATCACCCGGGATTTCTCCTCAGTGTGCAGGAGGCCTCTGTCCCTTGGAAGAGAATGGGCTTTTGAGGAGCTGACCTCTTAAACACGGGGAGAACAACAGTGCTTCCTCACTTCCGGGCAGGGAGGTTCTCCAGAAAGCCTGCTTTGTGGTGTCTAAAAGAAGTACCAGAAATCTGCAGTCACTTCTGCCAATGATGTTGCCTGTTTCAAGGGTCTGATATTCAGCACCCCTTTGCTGCCACTGAGATGACTCTTTGGTTTTAGAGTAAACTGAGAGATACATCTCCTCTTCGTCCCTGTGGGCAGGTCTTTCCTGCAACGGGAATACAACTGATTGACCAAGATAACTAACTGTTTTGGGTGCTGCTAAGAGGTAGTAACTCCTGCTAGGAGTTACTAGAAAATAACTCCTTTACTTTCGAGAAAGTGCAACTTTTCCCTAAGTGTCTTCCCTCCCACATGTGCCTTTGTTAATACAAAGTTGTGAAAGAAATGATAGTATGAGACTTGGATGCCTCATGGTGGACCCAGCTCTACGGTGTCTGTTGGCAGACGGAACCCTCAATCCCATCACTTTTCTGCAGTTTTATTCTCATCCTTCCCATAAGGCTATCCTGTCTGTATCCCGTATCCTGTGTTTGCTTGCTTTGTTTAGAGAGAGCAAGACGGGGAACAGCTGTTATGAGCAGGCACTGTCTGGGGTTAACGCTCAGAACTGCACACTCACACTCAGAGCTCTCCTCTCTCCTATAGGATGGAAAAAAAAAAGATTTTATAGCGCTTTTTGATAAATATCTATTCCCTCTGCTGACTCAGCTGCCTTCTATAAAAATGCCTGTGCTCAGCACAGATGGGAGGTGTTTTCTGTCACTGACCCCACTGCAGAAGTGCTTCTAGGCAACTTGGAAATGGCTGGGTAGATTTTACCAAGCTATCTCACCAAATCCACTGCTGGTGTGGGAATGAGTGGAGAAAACTTCAGCACAGAAATTCCAGGGAAGGCCTCAACACTGGGATTTAGCATGAATTTGCCTTTTCCACCTTATCTTCACAAGCAGTGTTGGCCTTCCCGGGAGAGGCCTGTGTGGTGTGTCAGGCTGTGACTCAAGACAGCAGGAGGACCCGGCAAGTGGGAAGGATGCAGAGGGAGAGACACCCGTGTCCAGCTGGTTCCAGGGCGCAGGGATTCTCCCTGCTTGCAGCATGCTCCAGGGGCACCTGCATTTTCACCACGTGGCTGGGGGATGATGTGGGGAGGGAAAGGGCGCTGCCATGCTGCAGCTGGCTGCAGTTTGCAGCACTGCATCTGTCCGGCTGCAGCGTGCCTCACTCCCCGGCCTCTCCCTGACATTTGACAGCCTGGGTTGTGTTGACAGAGCAAGATTGCGCTCAGGTAAAACAAACAGACTTTCCTGTAGGAACAGGAACTTGCAAGCCCCGGCATCCGGGGTCCTCTGGCCGACTCCTGCCTCTGCCCTGCTGCTGGGGAGAATGGCCTGATCACCCCCGTGCCCCCCAGGGCTCCTCTGGGTCCCTGCTGGCTGGGCGCTCGCACCGGGATGCCCTGGTGCTCATGTCTCTGCTCTAGGAGCTGCGGGCTCCCTCCCCATCTTCCTCTCATCCATACCCCCTCGCTCTTGGCATTGCAATATGCTTCTTTCAATGCCTTTCTGCCCACCCAGATGCTTTTCCAGGCCGGCGGGGGGGACACCCGCTCTGACTTTGCTCAGCTCTCTCCAGTTCATTTAGGTTACACAGTTCCGTCTCTGTAATATAGTCACTTGAATGTATCTGTCTTTTCTTTCCTCTCCCTGAGCCAGAAGCCTCAATCTGCCAATAAATGGGATAATTTTTCAGCTGGTGGTTGGCAGCCATCATTTTTCTCCCTGCCCAACCAATGCTTTGTTGTTGCAAATGGAAAAGTTAGTGATCTGACTTCGGAATAGGAGAATATGCCTCAAAGGAAGCAGGTTCCCTGTAGCATCAGGAACTCAGCTCTGCAGCAGCACTGGCCAGATTTAATGACTGTTACTGGAATGATTAGTGGGACGATTGTTTGTTGTTAACAGCCCATCTGTAGTGTTTAAACTTCATTGGGGAGCAGGATTTCACAGGCATTATCTGGCTAGAGGACAGCCTCATATGGTCCACAGAGGGACTGTGAAATCCCAGAGGAAATTAAATACAACAGGGGGGCTTCCTGTTATGTTCATCCAACTGATTTTTTTTCCTCTGATAGAAATCAGTGCTCTTTGGGGCATCCAAGTGCCTACTGCTGCTGGCAGATAACATGAAAAAGGGCCTTTCACTGAGGACAGGTGCTGAAGAGCACGTCTTTCTGCTACCTTTGCACTTTGCTATCACAGGGATTTCTTGCCTTTGTGCCTTCTTATGCTGGATGCCACACTGAGAGGATGCTAGGAAGCACAGAAGAGTTTCATGGGCACTTGTAGTGTGAATAAATAGATGGAAAATTTGCATGGTACCTAGGCCATTTCCATCTTAATTGAAAGTGTTTTTAATAAAACTGATGGGAGCAGGTGTTAGGAACTACTTTTTCCCATCCACACAGATGTTTGCTGGGGTTTGGCCCTTAGGGCCGGGGAAAGCTCTCAGATCCCCCTTGGAGTTCACACTAACACTCTCTCTCCCTGTTCCCTCCTCAGCACTTCTCAGAGAACCTGGATCACTTCTCCGACAGCATGGAGGATTTCTCCAACGAGCTCTTCAGCAGCTTCTTTGATGACCCAGTACTGGCCGAAAAGAACCCGCTGCTCGATATGGACCTGGATCCACCTACTCCAGGCATCCAGGCCGAGCACAGCTACTCGCTGAGCGGAGACTCTGCTCCCCAGAGCCCCCTCATGCCTGTCAAGACTGAAGATAACGCTAACGGTGAGCACGAGGCATGCACGCTGCTCAGCTGCAGGCACAGCTGCTCGCAGAGGCTCTGGCTGTCGTCCGTATATAAGGACAAACTGGCTATTCCTTGGACTTGCGCATGGCTAATCCAGGGAAGAATTTGATCTGCTGCTGTCTGAATACAGCCCACATTTTTTCCTTCAGTTCGCTCTCGGGCAGGCACATTGCTCCTCTGCCGGGCTGTTATTTATGGGAATGGTAACTGGTTGTGGTTCTGTGCTCTGCCAGCTTTGGCAAGCAACAGGCAAGTTCTCTTTAGGACCCTGCGAGGCTGGGTGTGGGTGCCCTAGATCCAGGTCTCTTTTGGCACCCGCCAGCAGGGCTTTGGCTTGAATATTGGAAGCATGAGTCTCTGGCTGCAGCCAGTGCTGGTGCTTGTGGAAAGCTAAGTGGCTTCCTTACCAGCAGATCCGTTAGCAGGAGACAGAGAGGAACAGTCATTTCGAAACCTATTTTTAAAACAATTCATTTCTGGATAATTTATGATGGCTGGATATTTTTAGAGCTGTCCTTGCAGAGAGTCCTGCAATTTGTGGGATTGTGTGGGTGTCCCAGCAGCTGATGGACACCAGGCTGCCTGAAAAAAGCAGTGGCACTGGCTCAGCACATACAGAAGAAAGCCATTCCTTTGTGTGAGAATGAGGCCTGGTGCTGAGTCTTCCCACCATTGCCAGGAATGATCCCAGCTCTGTAGCAGCAACGCCAGAGCAGGAGGAGAGGAGCTGCCTTGCCCTCCACTGCCTGTTTGTGCCCTGCAAAGGGCACAGCCATCAGTAGCACATTCCCTAGGGACCGCTCGGAGAGATGCCGTGGGAGAGGTTCATGGCCAGCTGAGCAAGCTCTGCTCTACATTCAAAAAGCTGCCCAGCTGCACCCATCTTGCTCACAGGCTTTAACTCCAGCAGCGTGGAGGGTGCTTGGCTTAAACAGGCACCTGGACAGCTAACAGAAAGCAAATGAGCATCAGCACTCACAGATACACACTGATGTTGCTCTGACAATGAGAGGATGAGAAAAGCAAACACAAGGTTGTGGGGAACACTGAAATGGCCCTTGGAGTCAGGCTGCAAAAAGCTACCTCAAGGAACTGTCTTGGGGACATTTGTCACCACTTCTGCTCCTCCCAGATGTTTCTGAAATGCCTCTGCTTCAGTTGCAGTCTCTCCAAGGCAAGGCTATGATGCTCTTGCATGGAGGGTGACATTCATCCCTGGGCAGAGGCCAGTGCAGCCTGTGCGTATTAAGACCCAGGAGATTGAGATGGACCTGGCACTTGCTTTCTGAGGATGCAAGTTAGTTCTCAACACGGGCATGAACATTAATGTGTCAGATACAAGGATATCCGTGCACCCAGGGCTGCGGTGGGATAATTCAGCCCGTCGTTCCAGGGCTATCTTGGCTCATAATTGGATGAGTCATATTCTAGTGCAGCCCTGAGTCAGGTCCAGTATTTGTAACACTGTGCAGTTGTTTTGGCACAGCTCCATCCAGTCTCTGTCCTTTTTAGACATTCACTTCAAATTAATTACCCAGGAATGGCTTTCCTTAAATGTTAGCTGTGGTGTAGCCTGCCTGCTTGGTCTGCAGAGCTTCCCAGGAATGCCCGGGCTCTCTCCAGACTTGGAGCTGGCAGAAGCTTCACATATCAGCCTTCTTCCAGCTTCTCTGTGCTCTCCAGCATTTCCAAATCCTGCCCTTTCCCACATGGCACCCACTAATATGGTCACCCAGGGGAAGCTGCTGGGTGCATTTTGATGCTGCTTATCAGTGGAGCTTGCTTGCCAGATGGTTTGCACGAACAGACTGCATGGTCCAGTTCTCAGCACCAGCCCTCAGCTGTGCAGGGTGTGATTCCATGCCGGGAGCAGGGGCTGGGCAGAACAGCATGTGCTGGGCCAGCCCCCGGCCAGTCACCGTGCATCTGTGTGGGCCCTGTGTCTTCCCTGCTCTTTACCTTCCTCCCCACCCCAGGGAAGCTATGGATATCTCTCAGCCTTGCTTGTTCCTGTTATGTCCAGAGAATCTGGAGCAGAGAAGGAGTTTGCTGGCACCCCTCGGCCAGCAGGACACAGTGGTATATTCAGTGATTACAGACTGGCCGTACCTGCAAAACCTCCTCTCATACAGCAGACCGTAGATGTGTCCATACATGCCTCCTCCTCAGTGACCCCCTGATGGCTTGTGGATTTCTGAGCCTGTAATCCAATCGCTCCCCAGATGAAACTCAGAGGGTGGGAAAGAGATCGGGGTCAGGATGCAGGCAGGAAATGGGAGGACAGCATGTACTTATTTGGGTGTCTGCTCCTCGGCCTGTCTGCACTGACCGGGGGCTGCTCTCTTGCCTAGTCAAGTCTGGGCAGGGAGACTCCTTGGTGGTCTGCTCGCCTCTGTCTGGTTAACTTGCTTCAGCAGCCGTTCCCACAGGCCAAGGATGCCCCACACCCTGAGAGAAAGAGAAGCTCTGAGACAGAAAAGGAGCATGAGAAATAATGGGCTTAAATCACAGTAAGAGAACTTCAAATTAACCAGTAGGCAAAACTGTTCTGCAGTGGGTACAGTGATGCCTTAGAAAAGATTTGATGGGGAAATTGTGAAGACTCCATCGCTGTGAGCTAAGACAGAGAGGACAACCATGTGTCAGGACTGACACAAGTATAACTGAACTTGTTTGGAGACAGGGGAAGGGACTGGAATCCCTCTCAAGATCCGCAAACCTTCATCTCAATGACAGGCTGCTGTCAGGCAGAAGAGGTCTAGGTTTTCTGGTTGCAAACACCTGCGGCTGTGCAACACTTTGCCTCCCTCCATAGGATAGGGCTGTTACTGGGGCAACTGGGGCTTTATTAGTTATGGGTTTGGGATCCTTAGCAGGACAGAGCAAAAAACAGTTCAGTCTGTGTGTGCTCCACAGCCCCTCTGTTGTCATGGCCATGTGGTGCACCCATGCAGCTGTGTCTGAGATGCTCCCTGGCATTGCTAGCCCTGTGCATCATGAGATGCCCTGGGAAGCTTCCCTGGAGTGCGGAAGCCTGGGCACAGAGCTCAGAGCTCAGAGCAGGGCACAGCAGCTTACGGCTCCCCTTGAAGATGTCCTGCCACACTGGGAGCTGGAAGGAAGGACCCTCAGCCAGAGAGACCTATCCAGACAGTAAAATGAAATGTGCCAAACCAATGATAAGAAGACAACACAGACCACCGGCAAGGACAACACTGTATTAACTGATAAGATTCCTGCCTGAGTTTTAAGCCCACTATGTGCATGCAAAAGCCAGAGGCAGGATTCTGCACTGTTCCTCCTGATGGGCCACACAGCCTCAGATGGGCAAAGATAAGATCAAGCTGCCTTTAAGCTTTGTTGGGATGACATCTCCTGCATGGACGGCTGCTGCCTTGTACCCCTGCTCGTGCTGGCTGTTCTAGAGCTGAGGAGGAGCCTTCCCCTGCACCCTCCTCTGGCCAGGGCATCTTCTAGACAGGCAGCTGCACATCCAACATCTAGGAAGCTCCTCTGAGCCCATGGGGGTTGCAAGCAGAAAGAACAGTGCAGAGGGGCTGGAAAGTGAGGCCAAATGTGGTCCTATGCCTTGAGCCAACTGGGACAGTATCTGGTGACACACATGTGTCAAGGCAAATGCATTTCTGGTTGTCAGATAAAAGAGAGGAGGAAGGGATGAGGATTAAGGAAGAGGATGTAGGCTCCAGGCCAGCTAGGAGTAGCTTTTTGGCAGGCTGAAGTGTTTGAGGAGCAATGAGGGGACCAAAATTTAAAAGCAGAGCCCAGGCAGCTCTCCTGCCTAGCTGTTTTTCCTTTGTTGTTTTTCCCTGATTCAAGCTGCAGCTTACCTCCTCCTGCCTGCATGGTAGCTCAGGGAGCTCTGCTGCTGCTGGCCAGGCAGGCCCGTGGCACTAGCGTGTGTGGGGACAGAGCAGGCAGGGCACAGCAGAGCCTCCCCTAGTTGCTCAGTTCTCTTCAGACACCTCCTTCCCCTCCGCGTGCTCCTTGCTGTGCTGGCAACTGCTGCCAGGCCTGGTTGTGCCCAGCAGGTCCCCCCCAGCGCGGGCAGGAGGAGGTGCTGCTGCTGGGAATGGCCGTGCAGGAGGTGCCACGCTGGACCTCCTTCCGCAGGAATGTTCCTCCTGTCAGGGGACAAGGCTGCTCCTCACCACCATGTTCTCGGCACGAGGCTGGAGAGCTGTCAGCCTTCTGCTCTCATCACGTTTGCCCTCTTGCCAGCTCTCTAGCACAGAGATGGTGCCATTCTTGGTAACACATCTGCACCTCTGAGCTGCTGGACGTAATTCCTAAAGAACAACAGCCCAGCATCCTCCTCTCGCTGAGCTCTAAATATAGCTAAGCTGCAGAGGGCCAGGCCCAGAGAGCAGCGCAGGAAGAAGCCCCACAGACGTCCTCCAGCCCCTGGCTGTGCGGGGAGAGCAGAGCACAATCCCTGCCGTCCCAGCCTGTCTGCTCCTCGCATGCCAGGGCTTCGTTCCTTCCTGTGCTCTGTGTTGTGGGCCTGCGCATGCTTGTGTGGTGACAGTGCTAGGCTTGGAAAGGCAGCTTCCCCAGACGGGGGGAAGCTGTCTGCACGGGTCTCTCATTTTTTTTCTGTCCTGTCCTTGCCAGAGTTTGACTCTCCCATTGTGCGTGTTTCAGAGCTGGAGAATGGAGTGTGGTCTCTGGGGCCCAAGCTCTGCTCCATCCTGGTGAAACAGGAACAGAACGTGGCTCTAGACCTGCCCGAGTCCCAGCTAGCTGCCAGCTCCATACCCATGCTGAACCTCAACCCTCTGCAGAGACTGCCAGCCCCTGAGGAGGTGAGCCCATCCGAGACACGTTGGCAGCCAGTGCTCTGAGAGAGTTGCACCCAGGTGATGTGGACCCTGCCGTGTCACCGCAGGGCCCTGCTGGGTCGTTAAGTGCTCTGGGCAGAAAAAGGAAGGTGTTGCAAAGCCAAAGCCCAGATACTGCACTATTTGTCTTTCTCCTCTTGAAATGTCAGTTAGAATAGTACCAAACCTGATGCTAGTTAGAAATGTGCTTTTGATCCCGTGAGTGAAGGTACAAGACAGCTTATCCTTCTGGAGAAAATGATGGAAGGAGGATTTTCTCCAGCTTTACAATTTGGGTTAAATACAAGCCTATTTCCTTGGCACAGAACCCAAAAGCCTCTAAGCTTGCACGTGCTGGAGGCCTGTCCCCTCCAATCTGCCAAAATTTCTGCAGCTACTCTTAGCTTATTTTCCTTGACTAGGGATTACATTTTACCTGAGAGGACAGTGTCAATTAATGTGGTGCCAATGACCCTGCTCCTCCTGAGTACAGACCCCTTTTCTGCCACTGTCATTTTTTTTCATGATCTTGGGCTTACCACACCTTCCTGAACTCATCATTGGAAGTGGTGGTTGCCCTCCAGCTCCAGCTTGCTTTGTTTCTAAGATGTGCAGCAGGCTGAGGATCTTATTAATATCTGCACTCTTAAAAAAAGTTTGTTTACGTGAAGCAGACTCATTTATGCCATTGGTATGTGGGAGGAAGCTCGGGCTCAGTGTGGCTGGCCTTGAGCTCAGCTGTGTTAGAAAGGAAGCTCTGGCCAGTGTCATCCAGACCTGGGCTATCACATAGCAGTTCTGGAGATAACAGCAGAGCATCTCTGGGGTCCACTTCCTTTTTTTTCACTCACCCTGAGCTTCTTCCCTTTTAAACAACCATCCAAAACAAATGGGCACTTCCCTACCGAACTGCAGAACCTTCCCCTGTTATTTACATGGCTCGAACGTGCCGGGCCCTCGATGTGCCGCTGCGTGCGCTCGGCAGCTGCACCCTGGTGTTCCCTCAGCTCTGTTTACTGTCTGGGGCACTTTGCAGGGTATCTGGTTAGTGTAAAAACTCCCCCAGCTTGTGGTGGGTTGGGGACCTGGGAGCTGAGGGGCAGCACAGCTTGGCTGGGGAGAAAAGTGCTCTTTATTTAACTCTCAATCCCTTCCAATTGGAAACAGCTGCCTGGTGGCCCTGGTAAAAATTATGTGAGCAGGAGAGGGGTTTTGTTCTTTTTCTGTGCAAGCTCTATTTATACTCCCATATCTAACAAAAGCACATCAAAGAGGGGCTTCCCAGGGTACGGCAGAGGGTGGTTTAGACTGTGTGCTGGGTCTTGCAAGGGGAGGATTGCCAAGGGAAACATTTGCATTGGTTGGCTGCATATCTACCTGCCATTGCCTGTCTCAGCAAACATGTGTTTGCACTCTGCATGCCCAGCAATGGAGACTTTGTTGGGTTATATTTGGACCTCTGGTTGCTGCTGGGTGCAGTGGGAGGTGGGCTGTGTGACATAGGCGTGAAATGGGGCAGAACGGAGTGTAGGGAGCAGCAGCTATGAGCAGAACTGATGGGAGCCCTATGGGCAGAAGAGGTATGTGACAGTGCCCAAGAGCTCCTTCTGCTTCTCTTCCACAGACTCCCATAGAAATGACTCCAGCACCTGTGATCAAAGCTGAGCCCAAAGAGGTGAACCAATTTCTAAATGTACCTGCAGGTAAGAAGACAGAACTTGCTGGTTGTCAGGCCCCCCTCTAAATTACCCAAATTATTCCTACAAAGGGAGGAGAAACAATACCTGGTGGTACTGGAGTGCAGGCTAACAGAGCAGGGAGCACTGATTCCGATCAGTGCCTGGATCAACAGCCATGCACAGGCTTGTTCAGACAGGGGCTCCCAGGCAAAACAGGCTACCTCGGAGCTAGAAATGGTCAAAAGTACCTTTAAAGTCCTCACAGGGACTTTATCATTATCAAAAGTAAAAAATACTAAAAAAAATGAAGTCAGGAAATTCAATATCCAGTTTAATTTGAAAGAAACCCAAACATCTGCTGATGCACAAATAGAAGCACTATAAGAACTCCCACTCTGCTCCCAAGAGACACTCCTTGGGCATATTCACACCTCCATTAAGGCTCCCGGGTCTCTCCTATACAAAGTGGGGACAGTTTTCAAGTGCTTGGCAGCACAGTGACCAGAGTGCCTTGAGTTAAGTGTGCTGGCAAGTGTGTGAATCCTGTGGTGCTTTTGGAAGAGCTCTTCTCCCAGTTAGCTTCCTCAGCATGTGAACAGGCTACACAGCAAAACACATTAGGCTTTGTACTCTATTTTGATTGGGGTTTCTCACTGCTTTGTAAATACCTTTAGTGTCTTGGCAAAGCCCTTGTGTGTGCTGTGACTCCTGCAGTTCCTAGTTCAGCATCACCTCTGTGCTGTGCAAGGCTCAGCCCAGGGTTGTTTCCTGACCACCCATGTCGTGAGGCTCATCAGCCTTCTCCTTTTGGTCCGGCTTTATGGCAGTGCCTTTCCCTGTTGCTACTCCCAGCCCTATGCCTGTCACAAGAGGCTGACTTGATAGCAATTGACTCGATCTCCTTATTTCTCAGTGGATGACCTGGTGCAGATGCCTCCAACTCCCCCCAGCAGCCACGGCAGTGACAGTGATGGATCCCAGAGCCCCCGGTCCCTGCCTCCTTCCAGCCCAGCCCGACCTGCTGCTCGCTCTTCTACTGCCATCTCCTCCTCACCTCTCCTCACAGCACCACATGTAAGGAGGCAAGAGGACATCATTGAGCAATAGGGCTCCTTCATGCTTAGAGGGGGCAGGAGGTTCATGTGGGGGATCCTGTCCCTGTTAAGGTTTCCATGCTGAAATGTTCTGACAAAAATGTGGTATCCCAGAATGACGGTTTGGGGATAGTGTGGATTTCACAAGGGCCAGGAGAAGGCCAGTGAGTCTTGCACAATGCCTACTAGTGGCTGCATTGTTTTAGTAAGTACTCTTTTATCCCATACTTTGGAAAGTGGCCTGTGCACTAGGGGACTCTTTCAGTAAAATAATGGAAGAAAAAGGAATTCCTATAACCCGACAATTTTTTTAACCTTTGCCAAAAGAGAGATCTTTGGCAGGGTGCTGCAGCCCAAGTGTCCAGCCAGCCACACAAGGGAGCAGATACCCTCCCAGGTAAAGGAGGAGGCAGCTGATGAGTTATGCAGGAGTTGGAGGCTGAGAGCAGGGAAGAGCACTGCTTATTTGGTGTCTGATCTACTTGTACTGAGCCCACAGCTGCTCTGCAAGACTCTAAGGAGGACCACTGGGATGGGGCTTATTGTTGACACTGATAACTGCTCCCTGTGTATTTCAGAAGTTACAAGGGACCTCTGGCCCTCTGCTCTTGACCGAAGAGGAGAAACGCACCTTGATTGCCGAGGGCTACCCCATTCCTACCAAGCTGCCCCTCACCAAAGCAGAGGAGAAAGCACTGAAGAGGGTCAGAAGGAAAATCAAGAACAAGGTAACTGTTGCCTGAATACTTAACTGTGCAGTTCCCATGATCTCAGAGCATCCTCAGCCAACCACTGCTATAGTTTCCTTAAGCTGTGGTGCAGCTCAGGGAGATGGGACCCTGCCTTTAGTGCACTGGCAAGACCTCCCAGCCTTCAGGAATGATTGCTGTGGGGTGAAACTCTGCACACTGCTGCATCTGAGGAGCGCCAGGCAAGGCCCCCTGCACGGACCCTGTGGAGGGAGACAAGAGCCACTGTATGATAGAGGACATGAGCGATGCATGGAGGTCAGCAGCCAGACAAAGGCTGATTTTAAGATTTTAAGACTGATTAGCAGTCATCCTGGGGGAGAATTCTTGACACCCTGGATTAGTCAACTGGTGACTCAGAAGTGATCTGGGGCAAAATCTGCCTAGATGGCCGCAGCACGTACCATGTGAGTCAGAGGAGGTCAGGACAACCTCAAGGATGCTCTCAGCAGTGAGGAGTTCAGGCACACTCTAAAAAATGGTTGTGACCTTCTAGCCAGAGGACTATATGGATACAGTTTCCATCCCTTCCAGTTTTGGCCTGGAAACCAGTAGGAATCATAAACTGGGAGGTGACTTACCCATTTACTTCAGGGTACTATGTGTACAGGGAACAAACAAGATGAGGGACACAGAAGGAAGTGTCTTGAGACTTATGATACCAATTTTCTCATGCCCCCCCAGATTTCTGCTCAAGAGAGTCGCAGGAAGAAGAAAGAATATGTGGAGTGTCTAGAGAAAAAGTAAGTGTCATCTTCTCAGAATTAATTTTGAAAAAGGGGCCCAGTCCTTTCTCAGCCCCCACTTCATAGTGCTTTTGACTCTGATATCACTTTTGTTTCCATTAATCTGTAATATTCCCCACTACATGTCAGCTCAAAAGTGGCTTAGTCAGAGTCAAAGCTTCCCCCTGCCATTCCCGGTATGGTACCAGGATGGTCCCAAACCCTCTGCTCCCACTGGCAGCAGCACTGGGGTTGACTTTGAGAATCATTCCTTTTCAAGGCTATGAAGTTTACAATGCCAATGGAACAGCAGGGATCTCAGTTATCTCCTTGTGAGACTCGGTACCGGAACCTGGGACAACCAGTGGGCAGTGCTCAGCAGACACTGGACTTGCAAGGGCACTGCAGAGAAAGAAGCTTCTTTTCCACACACTACACTACCGAATAGCTCAAAGAGCGTGATTCCTTGCAAGTCTGGCTGCACAGAAGTTTGGTTTGGGATCCTGCCCAGACTCCCCTCCCTCCTAGAAATCCTCTTGCAGGATGAAGATTGCTCTAGAAACCTTGTGTTGCTGACTGCTTAGATTGGATGGTTTCCTGCTGAACACAGGCCATTTTGGCTTCTGGCAAGGTGGGATTTTGGATGAGAGTCATGTTTCCCCACTGGAAGTTGCTCCTATTTTGCATATGCCATAGAGATCAGGCCATCTCAGGGCACTAACACAGATTTCTTCCCTCACTCTGTGAGAGTGGACACAAAACTTTGATGGCAAGAAAAATCTTCCCCTATAGTTATTTCCCACAATCAAATTCATTCCACTCTGCCCTGCCCAATATTTGGTTTTCTGCTTGCAACCTTCAGTTCCTGCCTGTATGGCAGATGCAAGCCTAAAGTGGCACTAACAGGAGACCTGACACTAACAGGGTTGAAAATAACCCCTATGCTCCTGATCCCATGATCCTGTCTGTACCAGCAGCCTCCCAACACAAGAGTCTTCTCCATAGGCTTTCCAAGCAAAAAAGCATTCAGGGATCCAGGTGCAAGCTCACGCTTAATACCACCTGAGAGCAGCAAGGTGGAAAGTCGGGGAAAAACAAATAAATAAACAAACAAAAGAAAAACCCAACCTTAATTAACTCTTTTCCCTGACTGTATTTGTTTATGTTTTCTAAGTACACAGAAATGCCTTTGGTCAACTGACTTTTTGTAAAAGCTGGTTTGTACAAAATTGGCATTGGAGGGCTCAACCAGTCAGTTTGAAACCTTCATTGTATGACCAGTTTTTATGTGGAACTCCTCATATGGGTCAGCCTCCCACGTCATCGGTTATGTCCTTAGCTGTTCATCTTCTTCCAGTGCTCGAGGTAACCCCTTCCACTCTCCCAAGTGCAGCGTAACCACTTTTCCCCAGGAAAGAGTGGAGGGAGCCTGCAAGTTCTCTGCTGCCCTCAAGTGCCCACTCTCAAAGCTGGCCCAGGCATTTGCACTGAACTGCCTGGTTTTCATGTGCAAGGTGCACAGCCAGGGGAGGTTTTACCTTTGTAGCCTTGGGTCCATCCTGACTTACCCTGCGGATAACTCAGTGCTAGCAGCTATTCCAGTCCTAGTGAGAGCTCGAACCAAAACTCGTGTGCACTGTTGTACGTTAACAGATTCCACCTGCAATCTCATCTCCTGTCTGTTTGCCTGGTTGGGGACAGACTGGTCATGAACTCTGGGCTCCAGGACCGTATCTGCAGGTGATGGATGAGGCCACTGAGCTTTCACAGCCCAAGAGAGGCAAGGGCTACATTTGCTTTATCCTTCTGGCCTTCAGAACTAACTGGCTGTGGGTTTTATCCCTGCAGGGTTGAGACATACACATCAGAAAACAATGAACTCTGGAAAAAAGTGGAGACCTTAGAAAATGCAAACAGGTGAGTGGGGCCATATCCTGCAGGGCAGGAAGGGTGGCCAGGGGAGCGTGTGAGCAGGATGGTGAGAAGAGCAAGGCAGTTATCCCCCATCTTCTGGCAGGACAGACGCTGCTCGGCGAGGCGCTGGTTTCTGGCCCATGGCAGCAGCGAGGCAGCTGGGTTTGGTTAGCAAGCCTGGAATGTTTGTGTTGGGACGGCCAGGCCATGCTGCAGCAAGAGGAGGGAGAGAAGAGGTTTTTCACCATCTCTTCCTCCTTCTCCTTGCAGCCCTTTGGGCTCCTGCTGCCCTCCCCACAGCCCTCCGAGGAGACCTCCAGCACCACCCTCTCAAACTTGCTGTTTCAGCCTTCAGGCTCATGGAAGAGCAAGCCCTGGGCACAATGTAGCTGTTTTGGGTTCCCTTGGAGAACCCTCTAATCCAGGTGGAGATAACAGTTCCTAAACAATACAAGGCAGCTCCCAGTGCATTTGAAGCTATTGGGAGCCCCATCCCTTGGCCTGTCTCTCCCCCATGCACAGGAAGCCAGGAGGATCTTTCTCCCATTTGCTTCTATGGATCTCTTTCTTCACCCAGGAGGAGCAAGCTGCAGGGCCGCCCCCGCGCAGGCTCGGCTCCCTCACCCAACAGTGCGGTGAGCGTTTGTGCTCCCCATGCACAGCGTCCGAGACTGGCTGCCAGGCGAATTTGCCTCCATGGAAGTGAGGAAGGAAGGTTCACATCCCTGCAGCAGGAATGGCTGCAGAAGATAGAGCAAGGCCCAGCTCTTGCAGGGTAGGGTAGGTTTGAGCAAGGGCAGCATCAGCTGCAGGGCCGATGGGGGGAAAACCCATTTCCCTGGTGCCATTTCTGCCACTTTGCCAGCTCTGATCAGGGAGCAGGCGAGGCGGGCGCTGCAGGCGAGGCGGGTGCTGCAGGAGAGGCCGGCGCTGCAGGCGAGGCGGGCGCTGCAGGCGAGGCGGGCGCTGCAGGCGAGGCCGGCGCTGCAGGAGAGGCCGGCGCTGCAGGCGAGGCCGGCGCGGGTGCGAGGCCGGCCGGAGCCCGCCATCTGCTGGAGGCAGCGCCCGGCCTGGCTCGCGGCGGCCGCCTGCTCCCCGCAGCAACGCGCAGCCCCTCGAGTGGAAGAGCACCAGCCCCGCCCTGCACAATCAGGAGAATCGCCTCAAAGCCAGGAGATTTCATTTTTAATTTTATTTTTCTCAAAATACACACTGTGTTCTTTCTGGTTGGGTTTGGTTTCCGAGTGCTGCCAGGGAGACTCTCTGTGCTCTTCTCCAAATGCACAGAGAGCTGGAGAGGATTTGGAAGGAGAAAAAGCTGGGACTCTCCTGTACTGTCCTGGCTCTGGGACCTGGCGCTTCATAAAAACTCCAAAGTATTTGTACAAAACCACCAATGCTCCCAGGAGGAAATACTCAATAGACTGTATTCCAGTAATCTGGGGCCCTTGGGACCTATGTGCTCCGTAGTTAAGTCTCCTTTGTCCCAGATTTCTTCACCAGCCGGCAAAAGGTTTGTCTGCTCATAGTAACATCTACCTATCGCTGTTCTGTATTTATGTGTGCAGATGCCTGTGTTCATTTAAATGGGGCAGAGAGACCTTTGCATGCATTCCAGCCAGGCCAGTCAGAGGATGAAATAATTTCTGTGCTCAGCATTTGGCTTTGCCCACATCCCTCTGCAGAGTTTGCAAAGAGTGAAGAAGCTGGAAGGGATCAAAATTGGTTTTTGCTTCTCTCTCCACCCTATGGTTCACGGGACAGACAAACTGCACAGCCCGTGCTTCTGAGTGTGGTGCAAGCAGGCAGGCCTCTCTGCTTCATCTGATCCTGACTGTGAAGTTCAGCCTCCTTCCCAGAGCTTGGTTTTCATGGTAGCCCATTCCTCCACTGCTTTGGGAAATGATTGACAAGCCACCCAGGAATCCCAAGCGAATGGGATGCCCATTCCCATGTGTGGCTGCAATGAAGCTTCTCTTGGGTGCACCAGTGAGGAGACTATGAAAGAAGGTGCTGCAGCAGTTTACCATGGCACCTCCCAGTTACTCCCTCAGTTCCTGCAAAATTCATATCTTAAGTTCAATTTCATCTTAAGTTTCATTTTTTTGCTTTCCAGGCGTGTTTGATGGTATAATTTGGGCAAGATAGATTGATGGGGAGAGAGGTATTGTTACAAGAAGGGAAAATCATGTTAAAGGCATCTCTCAGTGTGTGTTGTGCATCATCAAGTTTCTCTTCTCTTTTTCCCTCTTCCAGGACTCTGCTTCAGCAGTTACAGAAGCTGCAGGCTCTGGTGGCTGGGAAGGTCTCCAGACCTTACAAAATGGCTTCCACACAGACTGGGACCTGCCTAATGGTATGGGCTTCATTCTCTTCCTTGTGTATCTGCCGTGCATCCCTAGAAGGCTTTGTCCAGCTGCCTGTCTCTGCCCTCTTTCCCTGCCCAGCCTCCATTGCCCTGCCTGCTATAGCTGCTCTCCCCTTTTGTGTTAGTGACCAGAGTTGGGCGCTATGTTACACAGCAAGTGCTGGCACTTGTTTACACAGCAGCATTAGAACAATTCCTGTATTTTTACTATCTCATTATTTGGGCAAAACATCACTTGGTTTGCTTTTCATTAGCAACTGGAGATGCAGCAAAAAATCTTCAGTGAGCTCCCATCATAATGGATAGATTTTTCTTTCATTGAGTTGGTAATGCTTAATGTTTAACTCAGCAGGGTGGACAAATTGTTCGAGTATTCCTCCCAGTGGGCATTACCTTCTGTATAGCAGCAAGAAATGGCATCTGCTCATGCTCTGCCTGCACATCAAGTTTTGTTAAATCCATCTGGAATTCTTCCTGTTCACTCTCTTGACTAACCAAAATGATTTGGGGTCATTCCTTGGTTTTGGTAATCCCTGCTTGCCTCTCATTTCTTATCATGGAGGGTTATAGTTAAGCAATCTTGACTTCACTGTGGAGCTTTAGGGCATACCAGTCTGTATCCATAAAAGTTGATATTTTACTCCTCCTCCTCTTTTTTTTTTTTTTCTTTTTTTTTT